GGGAACTGAGGCACGGGAGAAGGGCAGGCGGAGATCGCCGGCCCCGGGGGGAGCGGGAGCGCGTGCCTCGCCGCGGCGCTGCGGTGCCAGGACTCACCCCGTCAGCTGCCTCGGAAATTAGCCTCCATCAAGTTAATTGCCAAGCCGCTCAAACCCTGAAATTAAACATTAAAGCTGTCACTCGCAGGCGCAGAGGGACTCCCCCCCGCCCCGAGCAAACGCAATTCTGCCTGTCCAAGCAGAGGGGAAGATGGATTCCCCGGCACGGGATGGCACCGGAGCTGCTCCCGGCCCTTTCCGCTGCTGCCAAGCGTGCCGGGAGCGACCCCGGGACAGACCAGCCGGGCACCGGCTCTCCCTGCTCCCTGGGGCACGAGACCGCCGAGCGAGCAGCCCTGGCCGTCCCCGCGGGCTCTCCAGCGCCGGGGACACCGGCACTGACGAGTGACCCGGCCGGGCCGCCGGCGCGGTGCAAACCCCGAGCTGCGGGACGGTCCCTCTCGCAGGAGGTTTCCTTGCTCTCGCTGCAGCCTGGCCCTCTCCTTCCTCCCCGCTGCCTGTGGGACGCCGGAAGGGCTGAGCACAAATCCTTTGGGCCCCGTTGCTTAGCCCTGGCTGTCCCAGGCACCTCTGGCTGGAGGTGGCCCCGGGCCCATCAAGACGCTCCCATCACTTAGGGGCTTGCGGCAAAGGGACCGCCTGCCCTGGCCGCTGCCAAGGGCCCCTTAGCTGCAGGCCCCCCCCTGTTGGGGAGAGGTGCCAAGGGGCACTGGTCCCTGGGAAGCGGGAGGTTGTCCGTGCTGGGGGCTGAGCGAGAGGGGAGGGAGGGAGATGGACAGGAGCGTGCTGGTCCTTGACGTTTGACGACGTTTTAGGAAACTTGGGTGATGACCTTCCCACCAGACTTGGGGCAAAATTGGCTCAAATCCTGGCTCTCCTTGGCTCTGAAGGGTGGGAGCCTGGGAGGGAGACCCCCGGGTCTCACAGTGCCAAGCCCCATCCTGGGGATGGGATGAGGCTCCTGGCTCCCAGGGGACAGACGTCCTCTTCCCTACTTGGAAAAGCGTCGCGTGAAACCTTCCCTACCGAGGGGTCTGGCAGAGGGCGTCCACTGGGGGGGTCTGACCCATTTCTCCTTGCTCC